TTGCGGTCGTACGCGTTAGCAGCGGTGGGCCTTCGGATATGTTCGCCTATGTGGAGTGAGTCACCACGCGCACCGTAACAGATTCAAGTAGATCAGGATTTTATGATAAGTGCGACACGCTGGGTCGGCGTCATACTCCTGTATTTTCCAGACATCTGTCCGTGTTCAAAGCCGGTCAGCTCTCTGGTGGGGCTAGTAGGCGAAAAGGGTTGTCACAGCATGAACCGACAGTCAGGAGATTGTGCAGTCAAAATGTCGAATACTGTGCCCGTATCTGGCTTCCTTATTTGGTTGGCGCATTTGCTGCGTGGTCTGTAGATCAACACAACTGTCAACGCAACCCCCCAACGACATAAACCTGTCTGTCCTTAAGCCGTCAAGAAAATAATTTTACCGATCCTGACTTTCGGTTGACGCACAATAGGCTGTGTTGAATGCTCTCAGTTTAACTGGCTGACTAAATAACAAACTAGGAGGTTTTCATGAATGGAAGTGAATATGTGAGCCGGCTCTCAAAGACAATGAGAGGCGGCTACTCCCCTTTACGTTACCCCACCCCCGTTGTCATGTAGATGGAATAGAGAACAAGCCATATCTTGTTGTGCTGTTAATGTTCATAAAGATTGCCTTCGGTACGAGACTTAAACGGCAAACCTGTACAAGTTCTGTCCCAGTGATCTCGCACTGATCTTCTTTGAAACTAGGAGATTTGAAGTAGAGATGACTTACTATCACATACTCACTTAAATCATGCTTAGACTTTGCTTACATTTATTACGGTTGGGCTTAGAGTTATAGTTACTATAGGACTGGATTCCGGGTAGGCTTTTCGATTAGGAATAAAGCTAGGGTGACCGTAGGGACTGCGGTCATATCAGAGCTAAATAAGCTCTCGGGTAGGTGTCACAGAGCAGGTGTAACCATTTCTGTTTACCGCCCAAGATGTTATGGAAATTTACAGCTACTGGGTAGTATGAAAACTACAGAGCTCTTATTAATGTGAGGCCGATCCTAGTAATGCACCATTCCTTGTGACTACATATCAAGATGGTAGCGTCGACTCAGCGTCCCTGACACCACATGACCCAACAACTGCTTCATTTATTTCATCTAAATTTCGCCCAAATAGGTACATTCACAAGCGCTGCATACAGTTGCTGATTCCTGCCTTTTTGGATACAAGAATCCCCCCTTCCGATCCCAACTATTATCACCGCTGTTGCTGTTATGGCCGCGGACGCTTGCATCTTGTTGGAGACCCGTCCCAGGTACTATAATATTCTGAGGGGCCCGTCGTCTGCAATGGTCACACATAGGGCACAAAACTGCATCCGTTACACTGTTCAGCCCGGAGACACCCTCTCCCCCATCGCTGTGCGCCATGAGTTAACAGTAAACATACCGTTCGACTCGTCGAGGTTCACTTCACCGTAGATGCGGTAGTAGGGTATGTAGACAACGTCCAGCAGAACTGAGGCATTAAATTCCGTCCGGTAGGGGTATAGGAGACTCAGCATTGCAACATCCGAGGATACGAGGAAGACAGCTAGGATAACCATAAGGATGAGTAGTTCCTTGAACATTTGAACAATCATTTGAATCTTGGGCCCGAGC